TTTCTAGTTGTTATGACACTGTTGCTGTGATGATACCATCTACGTTCACAGTAGGATGGGTAAATGTGCGGGGGGATGCCTGTAAATACAGATTCTTTGTAAATGCAGGTTCCTAATTCTTCCCCCTTTTAATATTTTTTCCCCTTAAATCATGTGTCCTTTTTGCTGCTCCAGCTCTATGATTGGACTGTCACCCGGGGAGCCTGAGGCAGCACAAAATCAAAGAGGTTAGACACTAAATTTTTAATGTAAATGTCAACCAGGATACCTACTAGCTGTGAAAAGGGGGCCCCAGGATTCAGCCTCAAAGCCTATTACCAGATACTTGGTTTCCCTGCTTGCGTCTCTTCTGTCTGTCGACGTGCACTTGACTCCTATTAACTTTAACAGGAATTATATGTGTGCCCTGAGGGGCGAGCATAGCTTTTAATGGGGGCTTCCTCACACTGCTTTTTTTGCTGATTACTTTTAATGAATCCCACCCTGTAGAAGTGGAATACTAAGACAGGATGTGCTTGAGAAAATGGAGAGAGTTATTACATATTTTCCTTGTAATCCAGAATAGCATGTCAGATCTTCTTCTGTTAGTCTCCTTTGGTTGTCAGTGGAAGATAATTTTGGCTTGCTCACTTTCCAAATCAGAAACTGAAGTCAAATACTAACGTATCCTAGATGAAACATGACCCATTCATTTTTTGGAGTCTGTATGAGCCCTGTGCAAGTTGCGGAGAATGAAAAGACAAATTTATTGACTTCAGTAGATATTTACATAGCATTGAATGTGTTCCAGACGCTGTTCTGAATTCTATCAGTTATCTACTTTTGCATCATAGAACACTTCAAGACAGTGACTTAAAACCACAGCCATTTCTTTGGCTCAGGATTCTTTTCAGTCAACAGGTGGGGCTGGGCTCAGTGGGGGTGGTTCCTTCTGTTGGTCTCATCTGAGATCACTTATTCAACCAAAGTCATCTGGTGATCCACCTAGAGTCTAAATGGCCCCCCTCATCTGGCAGCTGGCAGCTGTTGCTGGCTAGCTGTTGGCTGGGCCTGTTATTTCCAGCAGGCTAGCTCGGGCTTGCTTACATGGCAGTGATGTTTTAAGAGTGCAGGTATAGAAGCCACATGCCCCTTGAGGACTCAGCTTGAAAGTTGCACAGCGTCACTCCTGTTGCAGTCTCTTGGTCAAAGCAAGTCCACAAGGCCAGCCCAGATTCAAAAGGTGTGGAGTACAAGACCCCACCCCTTGCTGGGAGGGCTGCAGAGAATTTATGGCCATTTAGTCCTCACATCAGAGAGGCACAACAGAGAGATTTAGTAACTTGTTCAAGGTCACACAGCTTGGGACAATACAGTGTTTTAAGTGCTTTGAAAGCTGCTGCTCATTATTTTAAAATCTTACCACCACTATTTGGACCAACTTATTTTTTTTCTCTGCAGTCTTGTAGAGAAAGGGTCATTCACATTGCTGTGTGGCTGCCATGGGTTGGAAGCTTCATATATGTTATACCACTAACTGTCATAACTAGTATGAAATGGAGATATTATTATTATTCCTAATATTCAGATGAGGAAACTGAGGCTCTTGGAAATTAAGTCTGAGTCGTATAAGGGAATGTTAAGTCACTGTTCCATATGCAAGAGTGGTGTCCCTAAGTAAATTATAAATGTCCTGTCACAGATCTTTTTTTTAATCTCTTGTTTGCATCTGGAAAATGGTTTTTAAAACTTTTCTGTTGCTGTGTTAATGGCAGTTGCACATTGCAGAAAAATAGCTGGAAGAAGAAACATGTTTTTCAGATGCCCAGTGGAGCCCCAGAATAGAAGCAAGATGAATATTCCATTCCACACTGGCAACACCAAAGGAGATGATGCTTTAGAAAAAAGATTTCTCGACAAAGCTCTTGAACTCAATATGATCTCCCTGAAAGGGCATAGGTGAGTACATGTCCCATCCAGAAGCTTGTCAGAGAATTGGTTTAGTTTTCAGACGCTGAAGGAGACACATCTAGGAGCCTGCCCATCCTGGAGTAGCAGTTATTGTAACTAGTTGGGAAAGACCGTTTGTTATAGGGGTGCTCCTGCTGCTGCTTACAGGCCCCTTAGCGCGATTCCATGGCCGGGAGCATGGGGGGGCCACACCTTCTAGGAGCTTTGGTCAAAATTTCCTTTGAAAATCTCTGCTCTGACAGCACAAAGGGTGCCATCCCATCTCTGGTGCAGCTGGCACAGCCTGTTCAGTGTAAGAACAGACACTGCTGCTCCCCCGAACGTCAGAGACAGTAGTTAAATCTGTCAGCTCCATGAAAAATGTATGTTCTCACGCATGAGAATAGCTGCCCGCTCCCTGCCCCCCGCACGACAGGCTCATCGAAGAGTTCAGCTAACCTAGGTTACCTGTGAGCGTGACGGTCCTTCACTGCGTTGGAAAGGAATTTTCTAATGACTGAGATGTGTGACACTCCTGGCCACCTGCGGGGGCTTTCAGGTGGGAGGTTGGACACGATGGCCTCAGGTGCCGTGACTCTCGCAGGAGGTGGTGACGGGAAGGAGGGTCGTCCTGATGATCAGCCAGATGTTCCTGTTCTTAACGGCTGCATCAGTGGTTCTTCTGGGTCCGTGGGAGGGATTCGGGCCTCTCTGCATAAGGCTGTCACCATCGAAGATGTCAGAAGCTGGCAGCCTTCATGAAGCATTTTTTGGAGATGCACCAGCTATGAGCACATCCTAACCAATATACACTCTGCCCTTGAAGGTGTACAAAATTGAAAGTCACTTGGGCATGTCTAAAAAAAACTAAACAAACACAGTATTTTTCTCGAATGAACATACTTATGATAGATTTTCTTCTTTTTCCAGAGAACAGCAAAACATGCACAGCTATCCCAAGCTGTTGAAACTTAACCTTAATTCTGACTTGAACTGGAAGCTTTGAAAAAGTCTTCTGTTGCTTTTCTACCAAATTCTAGCTACTGTTCTCTTTGCTACTACTTTTTCTGCCTAGATCTCATATTCAAAGCTGCCTATGGGTTTAAGTATATGCAAATTGCAAGTTGTTGTTTTTAGAGACAAACAGACACACAGCACGGGGGGTGGGTGGGGCCCTATAGGTGCTGAATTTTGATCGTTTGCAAGATGACAGCAGTGGGGTCTTCTGGACTTTCTTTATACAGTTATTCTCATAAAGCGATAAAAGTGACTTACTATATGTTTATATAGCAAGGTCTGTTTTTAATACCAAATAGTTTATATCTCTATGCATTTATATCTCTGTGCCTTTATATTTCTAATAATACGGTTCTTGTTGATATATGTTGAGACTTTGAGAATTTGTTAGGATCCCTGACCTTGTGCATTAATTAGAGTGTTACGTTCTCAACAGTTGTGTGCCTCCCATTCCCCCTCCCCTCTCCCTTTTTAAGCTGCTTCACAAGATTTAGAAGCTCCCTGATTCACTTTTACTTTCCTTTCAGTGGGTAGAAGAACGGTTGGTTGGTTGGTTGGTTGGTTTTGTTTTTCAGTTATGCTGTTAAACTAAAAATCTGTGTTAAATTCCCTTACTGTTTCTTCACGTGACTGTTCTCTTTCTGGTGTTTGACCAGTGATGCCGTGAGCTCGGGAAGATCTTTGCTGAAGAGTCTTTTCCCCTACTGTTCATCGATTGTCAGTGTTTTATGTTGACCGTGTGAAGGACATTAAAGTCCTAAAACATGTAAACCTTTGTCAATGAATTTCTTTACATGCTTTTTAGACAGATTGTTCTTTTTAAAACTTTATGCTGGGAAAACTTGAGTCTAAAACTAGCATCCGTGAAGGGTATTTTGTTCAGAAAGGTGTAAGACTTGAGTTCTGCACATCCATGTTTTTAATGATTCAGCATACTGGTACCTTTCCGTTGGCTTTTGGAATGGACATTATCAACAAACCACCTCACAACACAGCTCACGGTATAAAGTTGTATGAACTTTGTCCCACTTAGGCTGGAAACATGTCACTAGGACAGTTTTGAGCTATCTTCATGTTTCGTTGGATTGTGTAATGAGGACTATACTGATCTTTCGTCCCAGCTCTGCACCAATTAGTTGGGTTAGTTGGGTTTCCTGCTTAGGGCTAAACCTTGCCAGTCTTGGTTCTCTCATCTGTAAAAAGGAGGATTGAAATAACTCCCCCACTTACCTCAGGGATGTTTGAAGAGCTTAAAACAAGGGCTCAGTGCAGGATGTGACTGTTTAAACACAGTAAATGTTTCAACAGCAAAAGCCGGCCAGTCCATGGACGCCATCCGAGTGTTCACATAAAATAGTGCTCAGAGTCTATTTTGCCTCCTTCCTCATCCATTCATATGATGGTTACAAGTTCCTGTGGTTTGTACCTGCCCCAGATCTCTTGAAACTCCACTTATTTCCATTCCCATTGCCACAGCCAGCTCTGTCATCCCTCAGCGGATCATTTCAGCAGCCTCATCTGCCCCCAACAGCCCCTACCAGCACAGCCAGTTGGACCATCACTTCCCCTTCATGCTCCTCCTTGGTTCATAAAAAATCCCAGACTTCTGAGCCCAACAGTCACAGCTTTGTGGTGTCTGGTCTGGCTTCGTCTTTCTTGTGTTTCTTGTTCTTGGAATGTGGCAAGCATATATGCCCGTGCTACGTCGGGTAAGCCTGGAGTTTCTGCCCCCACTCAGCAAGACTGACGTTCCTTCAAGACACCTGCCAACCTCCTGACCTTGTTTGTGTCTCCTGCATTGGAAGGATGCACTTTTCCTATGTTCTTATAAGCGTGACCCTTTTATCCCATCACAGCACCTCCATTCTGTGTTTTCCTGTGCCGAGGGTGTCTGCTTACGTGCCTTCCCCATCAGAGCAAGGAACAAGCCCTGTTTCTGCACCTCCATCACCTGGCATCCTGCCTTGCCCTTAGGAGGTGCTCAACGACTATCTGTTTCATGAATGGAAAGGCAGGGCTTCCTGAATTTCGCAAACAGCCTACAGTAAAGGCAGAGGTACAATCTCACATACGTGGTTGTTTTAATTTTTCAAAAGCTTACTATATAATTTCATTTTTAACTGAAATTTAAAATCTTGGAGGGCTCCCAGACTCTTCTTTACATATGTGTGAAAGTGTTTGGAAAACAGTGAGCAACTGCATTCATACCAGGACAAAGGGTAGTCACTGTTGTCTGGAGCACAGATCGTTGGAAGATACTCACTGAGCGCAAACCTTGACCTTTGAATGTCTGAAGTGAGTGAACGGACGTCAGTCTGCTGACCACGTGGAGAGAGGGGAAGGGGAGGTAAGGATGCAGGCCCCGGGTCTACAGGCTGCGGGAGCCACAACTGGCCAGTCTTTAGGGTTAAAAGCAAAGTGGACAGACAGGTGTCTTTCAGGCCTTGGGAAATCTGTGTAAACCTTGGTGGCCTCATGTTCCTTCAGATCCTCCGGAGTGTCCTCCTTCTTCTCCCAAACTGTTTTTGTTTATTTTTCTCTTTCAAAATTTGACAGCACATAATCATGTTAATACCACCTAAGTGAGAAAAAACAGATTTGTTCCCTCGTTGCTTATGTTTACCTGCACACACTGCTTCATCCCCAGCACTGTGGCTCTGTTCTTTGCCTGCACAAGAAACAAAATTGTTCTGTTCTGCGCTAGTCTATGTTTATCTAAACATCTTATGCTGTCTCGTCACAACTTAGCAGATGCTGGAAGGTTTGGCAAGCCCTTAGGTGAAGTATGTGATGTAACAAATAATTAGTCCCTTTTTTCCCCTTTAGAGTTTAAGGAGCCACTAA